AGCAAGTGAGCCAATAAAGAGGTAGAATCTACCTCTAATGAGAAAAAAATAGTGGAAAGATAGTAGGAAAAAAAATAAAGCAACAAAAAAAAAATGTCCCTGGTCATGAAGTAGGACTGCTATTGTATATATTTTGCTTATGAGGCAATCAGTGAAATCTGCACATGAGGTCACTAGGAAAAAAGTTGAAGTACAGAAAGTTTACATAATATTTCATGATCACAACTTTATTAATCCAAAGAGCTGAGGGAAATTGCAACATGCTTCCACTGAAAACATTGGATAGAAAGATTTTTTGTTCCATTTTGCCTTTTTTTCTTTGCTTTTTAATCTGCTTGTAATTCACTGGTGAATTTTCTTGCTATCAATGTCCAGAAAATAATTTTAATCAGAATAATGTAATGGCTGGCAGGAACACTTGATTTACACATATGCGGCACAGAGGAGCTAGAGACATGGTTTCTAGTACTGGCACAGCCCAAATAAAATAACATTTTGCCCAAAGAAAGATGTTTGCAGACTTTATTAGGAAATTCTTTCTGCCGACCATAGTAAGATATTGGCACACTTATTGACAAATAATTCTGAGTAGAAATGGTTACAGTGAAGGACACTCCCTTTGTATCCTTGTACCCTGGTCTCACTTTGTTCTGTGCTCTCATAGAAATTAGCACCACAGGTCACATCTGATCTTTCAGATTGTGGATACTTCTGAGATCCTTGTGTCTCAGGTTAAAACAGGATTTCTTGAATGTCACAGACTTAGTTTTATTCATCTTTACACATTTATCACCTAATACACTATATTTCAGATTTTTAGAGATCAAAAAATTTAACCAATTTACCCCATCTTTATGTCACTCTTATGTGCCATTGTGTAGATAAACATGCCACTATGAAGATAAAAATATATTACTACATATATAGATAAACAGAATCTAATAGTATGCTCTAATTTGCACTAAAATGGTATTAAAGGAATAGATAGCTGTGATACTTCTGAGATGAACCCCCAAATTGAAAGGCATAACCTAAACAACACAGTAGCGTTAAATTCAGTGACTTTGGGAGAGGATCTTTTAAACCATAAAAACACTTCAAAGTCAGTGGTATAGTGATTCGGTTTTGACCAGAGGCTTCTTCCTAGGGTGTGTGTTCATCTAACTAGCTACAGTCCCACATGGTAGGAACTACCCTGGCCTAGTCCTCAATGATACTTAAAATTATTTGCCAAGTTTTGCTTATATTTCACATTAGCAAGTAGTCTTTATTTTAATACTTACATGGTATAACTTTCCCACTTTCTACAGTGTTTGCCATGAGAAGACAGGTTGTTACCTAAGTTGTTTAGGTAATTTCTTAATTGGCAATCTCGTCAAATAACTTGCCATTTATATTTCTTAGGCTAGTTTGACAGGCCATAATCTGTGTTAATTTTATCAAAATTGTTTTAACTGATTATTATATAACTATTCAGAGAAAGGAAATATGATTTACTGAAGCATTAACTTAAAATTGAAGTAAATGTCTTTAGAGAAAGATTATATCTATGTAAATCATTTTTTTATTTTTAATTCAGTTTTATTTATATTTTGATGGTTTTAGATAAAAGGCAGGAAAAAATTGCAATTTTTAGTAATGGTTGGAGTAATCTACTGGGCAGCATAAAAGCAAATATAGTAAAAGATAATTCCATTACGCCAAATTAACCTCTCAATCTCAGATACCTCATTTCAAAAGCTGAAGGAGATAATACATTTATGAAGTCAAATCCATGTCTAAGGTATAAAAAGCCAACATGTAAAGTTTCATGCCTTTTTAATAGTTCACTTCTGACAACCTCACCCTATTTGAGAGGTATAAAAATTCCCTGGAAGAAAAGATTTGCTCTTTGATAGATTAATTCAAAATTATATTAAAAATAATTAGCAAGAGATATCACAAAATATTTTCAAGGCTTCTAGAAGTCTATCTTATTAAGATATTACAATTAATATTGATTAGTTATAAGTATAAACAGCTATGAAAACATGAGGATGCTCCCTTAAAACAAGACAACTGTCAACCTTAGAGTATGGTTATGCTTTGGATAAACAGATTGCATTAATTTCCTAAACAATTTTGTCTGCTCTATAAATAATCAGAATGAATGCATTAAGGTAATGTTAAGAGGAAGTACTATTTAAAGCTTGAAAAATAAATCCCATTGCAGAAGATAGGGATAAATAGTAAGTAGGGTAGTAACCAATATTTCACACTGGTGGTGGTTTAGTCACCAAGCCGTGTCCAACTCTTGTGACCGCATGGACTGTAGCCTTCCAGGCTCCTCTGTCCATGGGATTTTCTAGACAACAATACTGGAGTGGATTGCCATTTCTTCCTCCAGGGGACCTTCCCAACCCAGGAGTCGAACCCAGGTGTCCTGCATTGCAGGCAGATTCTTTAATAACTGAGCTGTAAGGGAAGCCCATACTTCACACTATATACTAAAATACTGTTAATGAAAATGTCACAGATAGTAGCTGTTATACTCTATGCATACAATTTTATACTTAACAGAGTAAGCGATAGAAAAAAATTATTTGCTATCAAAGGAATGAGACCTTTAGTTTCAGTTTTTGGAAGACTGAAGCCTAATCATAATTATACTTGATGATACTCAATTCTCTCTCATTCACTAATAGAAGCCACGTATTCAAAGTAACTATACATTTTAAACCAGTATAGCTAAATAAATCCTGGAGAAGGAAATGGCAACACACTTCAGCATTCTTGCCTGGAGAATTCCATGGACAGAGGAGCCTGGTGGGCTACAGTCCATGCAGTTGCAAAGAGTCAGACACAATTGAGTGACCAACACTTTTATATTATTTTTAGGATTAATACATGTCATATGGTTCATTGTAGTTAAAACAACTGTGGTAAAACTAACATAAACATTTTTTTTCATCTTATAATTCTAAATAGGCAAATAAAGTATAGGCAAAAGCCTTGATCTTAGCATAAATTCAGGGACATAAATACAAATAAAATATATTAATGTCATGGGGTTTTTTGGGCAACAATTTCAGTGAAAGTTTGACTCTCAGAGGAGAAATGTATGAATAAATGAATATGTAGTGACCATGAAGCATGGAATCTTAAGAAATTCAGTATTCTATTTTCATTTCATCAGTGTAAAAAAATTCTGAAGTAGTCATAAACCAGTATATGTGTGAAGTAAACTTCAATGTACACAGGTATTCCTAAATGTTGGTCTATTTTCTTAACCAACTTCTAAGTTCATTTCCACTATTTACTTACTTAATTGTTCAAACATGCAGCCTATCAAAATACAGAGGGTCAGGGTCTGCTACAAACTAAAGCTTGTGACCCTCAAAATTCATGGGTCATGAGGACGCAACTTCAGGAAGGGCATAAAATAGAGCCCAGAGAGCCCCTTCATTCCTTCAACCGTGTGAGGACACAGGGATAAGTCAGCCCTGTATCTAGAAGGCTCACACTGGACACCAGATCTGCCAGTGTCTCAAGCCTGGGCTTCCCGGCCTCAAAAACAGTGAGAAATAAAGTTGATTATTGCCATCACGCTGTGGTACTTTCGTTATAGCAACTCAAACAAACCAAGACCGGATATTGGTATGTATATGTACAATTCCAAAAATCTACACAAGGATAGCATACAGCTTAAAACTGTTAAGAAGACTGCAGTCTTGCAAGGAAAAATACAGGTATAGCATGGTATGGTTTTTCTTCCTATCTCAACAAAAATGTGAAAAAAAGGTTGAAGAAAGTAAATGAGATGGAAAATTTGGGGACTTGTTTATTTGATCCCTCTGACTGAGAATTATTTTCTTTAAAATGTAAATCCTTTTTGATATTGAGAAGTAAGCTTTCAGAGATTGACATGTCATTTCAAGATGCTAACCAGAAATAGCACCTTTCAGGTTACATTTCTAAATTGATTATTCTTTACTTGGCAGTTGAGAACTGGCCTCTATGTTCTAACTCTCTAATTACTTTATGACAGTGAAATACTCAAATATTTGAAAATTTAAGGAAACAATAAACTGTGTTAATTAACAACACATTATTCTAGTCTTCTGACTGCTTTTGTCATTAGATTAACACTTTCAGCAAAGGATTAGATTAAATGATTAAGTTAACATTAATTCCAGTGTCATAAAAGATAGTTCTGATAAAATGAAACCAAATATATATGCATTAAAGCACACACAAGGAAGAAAAATACTCGTTTTAAATGTATTTAAAAATATACTCAGCGAATTTTATAATAAAATTAAAAATCTATTGCCATTGTCAGATAATTAAGAGATTAAATTCTTAAGTTAGACTTTATTAATTAGTTAAACATTGTGCTGTGCTTAGTCGCTCAGTCCTGTCTGACTGTTTGTGACCCCATGGACTGTAGCCTGCCAGGCTCCTTGTCCATGAGATTCTCCTGCAAGAATACTGGAGTGGGTTGTCATTCCCTCCTCTAGGGGATCTTTCCAACCCAAGGTTCAAACCCAGGTCACCCTCATTCCAGGCAGATTCTTTACTGTCTGAGACACCAGGGAAGCCCAATTAAACATTATTAGTTATTAATTACACTAATGACTATAGGTGTAATCTCATGTTATATGAACATTTCAGAACTTGGCACTGTCACCAAGATCAGATAAGTAATGATCATTTTACTTGATCATGATAAAAAGAATCATTTTGATCCAAGCAAATCAGTGAAAGAAAGGAAATGCTATTGTTGCTATTGCCAACAAAAATTTCTTTTATAAGCATTTTACTATTTTGACTGCCCTGTAAAAAAATCATACCTGCTTATAAATAAGAATGATTTAACATTTTTCTGAGATTTTTCAGAAAAATTTATTTTTTGCAGTGGGTTTGAAATATGGGACAGTCTAATATTTGGCTACTTTACTCTGAGCATATATTTGCAACTAATTGTATATGGTATTAAACAAATACAATTTGCTTTTCAGAAATAATCTTTTAAGTCACTCCATCACTCTACTAAAACACTGAACTGAGCAAATATGCAGAGTTCTGATTCGGTAAGTTGTCACAATGTATTTTATCTCTAACACAGAGAACTCTGAAAAGTTTTTAATTTGTATATATGAGTTATTTCCATTATATGTTATCTACCTTGATTCTTTACTGCTACAGTGATAAATTTAGAAAAACCCAGCCAACTGAAACAGAAAGCAAACAAAATGTAATATGTAAAAATATTTTAAATGTAACATTCATCGGGAGAAATCAAACAATACATTTGATCATGTAAAAAGAAATATACTGATGAACCTATATGCAAGGCAGCAGTGAAGACACAGACATAGTGAAACAGATTTATGGACACAGATCTTTGAAAGGAGAGGGTGGGACAAATTGAGAGACTAGCATGGAGACATGACATGACATGACATGACATGATGTGACATAAAACATGACATAACAAGAGACATGACATGACAAGAGACATGACATGAGACATGACATGACATGAGACATGAGATGACATGAGATGACGTGACATGACGTGACATGACAATTACCATATGTAAACTAGATTGCCAGGGGGAATTTGCTCTATGGCCCAAGGAGCTCTGTGACAATCTAAAGGGATGGGATGGGTGGGAGGTGGTAGGAGACTCAAGAGGGAGGGGATATATGTATATCTAAGGCTGATTCCTACTGATGTATGGCAAAAACCAACACTATGCTGTAAAGCAATTATCCTCTAATTAAAAATAAATAATGAAAAAAATAGAAATACATGTATATCCTGAAAAATAGAAAAGGTTTTACTTTAAGAACTTTTCACTAACAAGTATTTTTTGCAGTGTTACCATGAAATCATCACTGCGCATAAACATTTGGGTTGTCACAAGGAATCATATATTCTTTAAAACACTATTTTACGAAAGTGCTCCTAAACTCATCCTTGTTTGTTGGAATAAACTGAATTACAGTGTAAATTTTTACTCTAAAAACTGTATGCAAGCTATTACTATATCTCACAGAATTCAGCCACTGTAACTCATATATGGACAATATTGCACCAGAAGGTAACCACTATTATATTTTTTTGGAAGCAAAACAAGTAACTTTTCAGGACCATTTTGAATAGATAATTTATCTATATTTTCTTCTGTGACATAGATTATCCAAGAGACTCACTGACAGGAGTAAATTCACGTATCAAGTAATACATTAAATTGTTATATCATAAGCTGCATAGAGCACATTAAAACCATGTGCTGTTATTTCATTATGTATAATATATTTGAGAAAACTGAGGGTCAGTAAACTGCTTCTCTAGTCTAGTCTACTTTTATCTCATTTTCTTACTTACATTATGAGCATTTTTTTGACAGATTACATTTTGGGGTTGAAGAGAAATAAATGTTTATAAAAATATTTTGTAAGAAATGAGATATATTTTTTTTAGCTTTCTTATCCTGCTCTGTTTTTTTTTTTTTTTTCTTTCTTTCTTTTTCATTTTTTTCCATCTCCACTGACATTTTTTGATGTACATCCTTCATAAAAGTAAGTGAAACATCTCTGGACCAGAAAGCCAGTGGCATAATTCAAGGGAGTAGGAAGACTGATGGATTCTTGATGAGGGACTGGAAAAGGAGGAGAACTTTGGTTAAAGCAACAGCCAGAGGCCACATTGTTTAGAACTTCAGCAAGAGTACATTAGTTATTCAATAAATATTTATTAACTGCTTGCTATATGCTAGGCCCTCTACCAAGAACTCGATTTTGCCAAGACAAGAGAAAATCTCTGCCTTTGTGAATCTTGCTAAAATAGTTTTGAGTGAAGAGTATCACTTTAATTTGTGTGGACAACAGAAAGGAAGACAAGATTGAATCTAGGAAATGTATCAGGCAGCTATTGAAATACTTTTGGTAAGAGATGATGATAAATTGAACAACTGTAAAGGTAGTTTGGCAATAGTTACAAAAATTTGCTCATTGTGAACTCCATCTGAGGAGTTACTGAAATAAACAATATCATAAATATATTTTAAGTACCGAGAGTATAACTTGTAGAAGACGATATCATGTATATAATCATTCAGTTCAGTTCAGTTCAGTCGCTCAGTCGTGTCCGACTCTTTGCGACCCCCTGAATCACAGCACGCCAGACCTCCCTGTCCATCACCAACTCCTGGAGTTTATTCAAACGCGTGCCCATGGAGTCGGTGATGCCATCCAGCCATCTCATCCTCTGTCGTCCCCCTCTCCTCCTGCCCCCAATCCCTCCCAGCATCAGGGTCTTTTCCAATGAGTCAACTCTTTGCATGAGGTGGCCAAAGTATTTCAGCCTCAGAACCAGTTCTTCCAAGGAACACTGGTCTCCTTTAGGATGGACTAGTTGGATCTCCTTGCAGTCCAAGGGACTCTCAAGAGTCTTCTCCAACACCACAGTTCAAAAGCATCAGTTTTTTGGTGCTCAGCTTTCTTCACAGTCCAACTCTCACATCCATACATGACCACTAGAGAAACCATAGCCTTAACTAGATGGACCTTTGTTGGCAAAGTAATGTCTCTGTTTTTTATTATGCTATCTAGGTTTGGTCATAACTTTCCTTCCAAGGAGTAAGCATCTTTTAATTTCATGGCTGCAATCACCATCTGCAGTGATTTTGGAGCCCACAAAAATAGAGTCAGCCACTGTTTCCACTGTTGCCCCATCTATTTCCCATGAAGTGATGGGACCAGATGTGATGATCTTAGTTTTCTGAATGTTGAGCTTTAAGCCAACTTTTCCATTCTCCTCTTTCACTTTCATTAAGAGGCTTTTTAGTTCCTCTTCACTTTCTCCCATAAGGGCAGTGTTATCTGCATATCTGAGGTTATTAATATTTCTCCCAGCAATCTTGATTCCATCTTGTGCTTCTTCCAGCCTAGTGTTTCACATGATATTCTCCACATATAAGTTAGATAAGCAGGGTGACATATACAGCCTTGACGTACTCCTTTTCCTATTTGAAACCAGTCTGTTTTTCCATGTCCAGTTCTAGCTGTTGCTTCCTGACCTGCATACAGGTTTCTCAAAATGCAGGTCAGGTGGTCTGGTATTCCCATCTCTTTCAGAATTTTCCACAGTTTATTGTGATGCACACAGTCAAAGGCTTTGGCATAGTCCATAAAGCAGAAATAGACATTTTTCTGGAAATCTCTTGCTTTTTTGATGATTCAGCAGATATTGGCAATTTGATCTCTGGTTCCTCTGCCTTTTCTAAAACCAGCTTGAACATCTGGAAGTTCATGGTTCACATATTGCTCAAGGCTGGCTTAGAGAATTTTGAGCATTACTTTACTAGCATGTAAGAACAGTGCAATTGTGTGGTATTTTGAGCATTCTTTGGCATTGCCTTTCTTTGGGATTGGAATGTAAACTGATCTTTTCCAGTCCTGTGGCCACTGCTAAGTTTTCTAAATTTGCTGGCATATTGAGTGCAGCACTTTCACTGCATCATCTTTCAGGATTTGAAATAGCTCAACTGGAATTCCATCACCTCCACTAGCTTTGTTCATAGTGATGCTTTCTAAGGCCCACTTGATCAATGTCACAAACCTCTGTCCATAGTTCATCAGGCTCTCTGTCTATCAGATCTAGTCCCTTAAATCTATTTCTCACTTCCACTGTATAGTCATAAGGCATTTGATTTAGGTCATATTTGAATGGTCTAGTGGTTCTCCCTACTTTCTTCAATTTATGTCTGAATTTGGCAATAAGGAGTTCATGATCTGAGCCACAGTCAGCTCCCGGTCTTGTTTTTGCTGACTGTATGGAGTTTCTCCCTCTTTGGCTGCAAAGAATATAATCAATCTGATTTCAGTGTTGACCATCTGGTGATGTCCATGTGTAGAGTTTTCTCTTGTGTTGTGGAAGAGGGTGTTTGCTATGACCAGTGCATTCTTTTGGCAAAACTCTCTTAGCTTTTGCCCTGCTTCATTCTGTACTCCCAAGGCCAAATTTGCCTGTTATGCCAGGTGTTTCTTGACTTCCTACTTTTGCATTCCAGTCCCCTAGAATAAAAAGGACATCTTTTTTGGGTGTTAGTTCTAAAAGGTCTTGTAGGTCTTCATAGAACAGTTCAACTTCAGCTTCTTCAGCATTATTGGTTGGGGCATAGGCTTGGATTACTGTGATATTGAATAGTTTGCCCTGGAAACAAACAGAAATCATTCTGTCATTTTTGATAACATTAGAAGACTATTATTAAATGTTATGCAGTCATTTGAATGCTTCTAAAGAACTAGGTATATTACCAAAAATTTCAAATGGACTGGCATTAAGTTTTCCATACCATTTTCATTTCTTAAAACTCCATTGTAGTTGTACATAGCCTGAACATCTTCCAGGGTATAAAATGACTTGAAATAATAGAAAAAATATACATTATTTTGTAATGTAAAACTGAGTTCCTATGAAATTAAGTGATTATTATTATTCCAAGACTCAAAACAATAAAGTTCCTGAAATTCATATAATCCTGACTTGAAGCAATAACTCAGTTGAAAGAGAAAGGTTGTTCCTGAGATTACTTACAATAAAAATCACATAAATTCTAAAGCCTTCCTTAGGGTGAGACTTAGCCTTGAGTCAGCTGTAGATAGGAGCTGATTCTAAGAAACCCAGATGGTCCATATACCACAAGAGTTGCACCCTCATGTACATGGGTATTACTCCCCCAAAAAAGAAGAAAAAAAGAAAAATGAAGAAAAGGAAAAGTTAAAAATAAATACTTAAATGACAGTATTTTGTTAGAGAGGATAGGTCTTCAGGATTCCTTTTCAGGAAAGAATGTACATAAAACTATCACGGTTAGCTATCGCAAGAGTAGAAATAGAAACTACTCTTAAATCTTGGTAGGAAAACAAATCCAAGTGAAGTTATTTCACAGTAAGCAAGAGAATTCTGAAAAATGAAGAATAGAACCTAGATACTTACTACCAAACACACAATGACATGCTAGAACTAAGCCTGAAAGTATTTGTAGAATTAGCTCATGAAGTTAAATGCTTAAGTGTA